TAAGTACAGAAACAAGGAGCATACAGAAGAGGATTTCACTTTTGAAATTTAAATTACAGAGAAATAAGCTTTTTCAAGCATAGGCACAGATTGGAATACTTTTGCATTAATTAATATCACAAGCTTAATGTTTATAATGGGAAACTTAATTTGAAGGGAAAATATTATTCCTCCTGATGCCATTACCACTGTCAGTGTTCTTCGTTCTGTCATTCCTGGGGAAGGTTAGGAAGGCAGCAGTAGACAACCTCTATGTGTGGCAAATGGAAGCTTAATTTAAAAAGATTCAATTTATCGAAGACATTGCATAAGTGTTTGGAAATCAAAGGCAGTGATGCCTGAGAAAGGAGAGAGAAATCTCTCTCTGGTAGAAGTGCTTGCAGGGAGTATCTGAAGTGTAGGGCTGGGTTCAGACGGATGCCTCACTTCTAACCAGGTACTAGAAGCAATCCCCTTCACTGTCTGCTCTGAAAGATGTTCTCAATTATTTGTGTATACCTTTGGCAAAATTCTCTCCATATACAGGAGCTGTTGTACTCAGGGTTTTGGGAGCCAAAACCAAGCTCTTTATTCGTGGTGAGGTCAGGATGCTTCTGGGGATGGTGGCTTGTTGGTTACCAACTGCTCCTCAGCCAGGAGGTCGTCTCTGTTCTAATGAGATGTGCTTTGTTTCTTTTTCTTATAGTAGAATAAAAGGAAAAGGCAAAAAGACTGTTACACTATTTGCTGTGACGCTTCTTTGTGGTAGGATCAGTGGACTTGAGGGAAATGTTGACTAGTATCAGAATTACTGGCAGAAATGTTTCAAGGTAAAGTGTGTACATGCTGGGTGCCTTTTAAATGGCATCCTCACACTGCTGCTTGAAAAGTTGCTAACCCTGTAAGCATCCAAGTGAGATAAGAGGTTGGCTCGTGCGGTATTTTGGGCCTTACAATAGTTTCTGTTAGTTTTAATTTTTTGTTTGATAGATTTTAGTTTTAGATCAGGGAGCCTAAGTGGAAGTTGGGAATAAAAACCTCACATATAAATAGCAGTGAAACAAGCAACTACACTAACCTCTGCTTTCAGTTACAGGAACTTACACTTGAGGAAGCTTAGCTGATATCTTCTGTGTACAAGCAAAGGTAGAATTTGGGTCAGCAGTCAACTCCTTAATCATTGGATTTTCTAGAGTCTGTAGCTAATTCTGCTCAGCATATGCTATTGCTTTTTTAATGCTGTACATTGGTTATGGAATAGTAGTGAGATACCAGTGTTCCTGGTCTGAAATTCGAAGCCAGTGTTGGACAGATTGGGTTTTGTTCAGTTTGTGTTTGTCACTAAATAAATACCCAAATACTGGTAATGATCTCAAAAACTCAAATGAGCTTGTTGAATAGTAGTTGTGAATGTTTGAAGTCAGTTTGTAATACGACATGAAAGAATACTGAAGCTGTAGAGTAGGTGTCTTGTCATTGTAAATAAACATCAAAAGCAGAGTCCACTGATTTGGGGATGGGGTTGTTAAGAGTTTCAGATCAACAAAGTCTTCCTTCAGAAAATGTTGTTTGTGCTCTGTGGTGTGCCTGGAGCTACTGATAGGAAGTGTAATATCAAATAAATTTTCGTATTAATTACCTAATCTTCAGGAGTCACAGTTGTTTCAGGCAGCACTAGAAGTTCATGGAAGACGACATGGAAAGAGATGTGTATACATACGTATTATACATGCTTATTCAGTAATTTCTTCTGTTGACCCACACTGATGTGCCTGTGGGTGAGTTAAAATGCATCTCCAAATAATACCAAGCGAATACAGGTTATGTGCTTATGTATATAGAAAATATGTATTATTTTACTTAAAAGGAGATGAAAGAGGAAATGTTAACTTCTGCAGATGCCTTGAGAGCTCTGTCTAGTTTTGGCTTTGCTAGCATTTCTCATCTAGGAATTTAAAGGCAAGTTAGCAGCTGATGTAAAAGGCTAAAGATGAAGTGTATCCAAAGAAAGAGATGGTTTGAAAAGATTAATAATTAAGAGTCTTGCTCACCTTTGGAAGTTTTTATAACTGGGTCTTTAAGTGTCATGTCCTTTTTGTTCTATTTAAGAAAGATTGACAACATCAAAAGTTGTCAATTATACAAAGCATAAAGGACATATAGAAATAATACTTTTTGTGGGGTTTGGGGGGCCATCTGGGCTTTTTGTCATTGTGTTTGTTTCATGCATTTCTTTTTATGTAAATTTTTAAGTAGAAGATACAGGAAATGAGTAGCCATCATATGCAGCATTTTAGCCACTCGTTGTTCTGAGCTGCACGTTACCACTCCATAGAGGTATTCAGTTACCCTTATTAAGAAATCTGTCTTTATTCTTACATTTCTAAGTGCTGCTCAACAACCTGACAATAGTAACTCACACTGTAGGACTGATCTGGCTGTTGGAACATTGACATTAATGTCAAATGTTCATAAGAATTTGGAATTTGCTCAAGAAAAGCCAATGTAAGATTTGTTAAGAAACAACTTTGCTTAAAAAAATAAAAACAGTCTTTCCTGTGGAAGGCCAGGGATGTTGTTTGAGGTTACCTGGTGGCTGCACAGCTCCCACTTAAAGGGAAAAAGCCTCCTGAGGGATTGATCCATCAAGGAACAAGAAGGCAACTATGCTGTTTCTCTGCATGTTTTTCTTCTGCTGATCAACACAAAAAGTTGTTATTTGGAGATTTTCTAGTAGCTCTCCAGCCTGCATAATGTCACCATTCATGAGCTTCTAACAGGAGAAAGAGCAAATGTGCCAATGCAGCCAGAGCTGCTAAATATTCCCTTGCTCAAGATGGCCATGATAGGAGTGGAGGAACAGCAGAATCCTGTTCCAGGGTAGAGGAGCGCCCTCATGATGGAGGCATGTTATTAACCTTTTAATTGTGAGAAGAATGAAGTAGAGCAGTCAAACTTAGGCATTAGATAGCATTTGGCAAACAGTGGTGGAAATGGTTACTGTATAATTAGCAGCGGGAAGGCTGTAAGTGGCTGCACCCTAGTTGCGTGGTCAAATTAAATACAGCTGAGGTTACAGCAAAAAGCTCAGCCCCTCAAAACCTGGATTTTCTTCATACGTGCCACTATCTTGAACTGATGAAAGACCCACCATGTGTAATGTGTTTTAGAAGATAAGCCAATAAAATGTAAATTCCATTGATAAAAGCATTAAAGTAAAAATTAGGATTTCTCTGTCAGCAGTTGTTCAGCTTCTTACACTTGTGCAGTATTTCATATAGCTTTGTATGACATAAGCTTCCTTTGTGATATTGTGGGTTTTAATATATATGTGTGTATGTTTTGAATTCATAATTTAGGTGAGAACCGTAACGTGTGTTTTTTAATCGCCTTGCGGTAGGAGTCACAATGGTTACTCCCCAGTACAGTGCTTTATGACAACAGCTTATTTTCTCAGTGAAACTTAATTTACCAGACCCAGTAGTGATGGTATTTCTTTTGATGGAACAAATTTAAATGTGATGGTGCCATGGTTATCACAAGCTCCCTCTTATTTAAATCAATTTATCAAAAATGAGCTGCATGTTATTTTTGCTGGGTGATTTTTCAGATACCTTTATCACTGAAACTCCCTCTGGTATTTGTTTTACCAGCTTTTTATTATTTCTTCTTACCATTATGGTTATGTAAAAATGGATGTTGTTTTCTTTTAAATTTGCTTTCTCTTCTTGCCTGGTTCTCTTGTGTCTGTCCACACTGGGAATTGGAATAAATGAATCATGTTTAATTCCTTCTAAATGCAGTTCAAGCAGAGCAAATTTGTCAGTTTATTCAGGTAGCGTAGACTGGGAAAAATGGTGTTGCAGTCTCACCTAAAAACTTGCCTGATGTTTAAGCCTTGTGTGCATTTTTTGTTTTGTGGTTTTAGCATAGTTAGGTCTTATTAAAGTCTTTTAAGAAGTACTTTCAGCAACATATAAGACAAGTTTAAACACAGATCCCAAACTTGGTTCTGAAGCCAAAGTAAATGAGTCTTGTAGTGCCACATTCCAGTGATTCTGACATCAGAGGAATATCTGCGGTAATCCATTTTTATATTAAAGTGGCTGGATTTTTATATGCCTACACAAAGCAAGGCTGGGGTCTGACATAGAATCATAGAGTGGTTTGAGTTGGAAGGGACCTTAAAGATCATCTGGTTCTGGAGAAGCATGGAGATAAGCATTCAAGACACTAACAAGTTTTTTCATGAAAACTTTTCCCCCCTATGGAGAATAAAAAAGGTAACTCAAGATATTTACATTTTGACAAAAATTGAATGTTATTTTGAAAAAGGCTCGATAAAACTAGTTATTTTGTTTAGTGTTTTATTGTTGTTTCAGGTTTCCTGACACTCTGCTGCAGTGGAGATACCTCTGCATTTTTGTGAATTAAGGAGTGAGAATTATGCTAAAATTGAGCACTGACCCAAAACAAAACCCCAGAGTATTTTGAAATATTTATACAAATGGATTATTTGCCTAATAAATGTTGTAGGTATTTGAATACAAAATGTTCAGTTTTCATCACATTTGCAGCATTAGCCGCAAACTTTCTTGAGATTTTTCATTCTGGTAAAAACAATCATAAAAATCTCCTTGTAAAGGCTACAAACCTGGTTCATACCAGGAAAACTGGGTTCAGGCACTGATTGCAGAGCCAGGACTGCATCAACTTGGCCTTGTATGGCTGGGCTGAACTTAGCCAGCTAGAAAGAAGATTCACATTCTGCTGTTGGTGCCTCTCTCTATGGTGGCAAGGGAAGACTGGGAAAAGCTGCCAATGAATGTGTGCTCAGCTGCGTTTGAGCTGATAGCTCTTTTGCCATCCTTAGATTTTAAGAGAAAATAGAGTTTAGTGCAGTCTCTTACAATCCAGAGTACAATTCCCCCCTCCCCATTGCTGTAATAACAGTTACATGTTTTGTAGTGCTGATTCTTTCAAACTTACAATTAAAGAGTATTTCTCTTGTTTTCTTTCAGATTCTTCTCATTCTTTTCATCGAGATGAGACTATAGTTATTGCCCTTGCATCTGTGTCTGTACTGGCTGTTTTGATTGCTGCTCTGTTCTTTGGATACAGGATGCTTGCAGGTAGGGTTTGACTTTTCTTTGATTATTCCTTTTTTTAATTGTTCTTTTGACTATTTCTCAAAGCTATGCTTACATCTTCTGCTCTCCCCAGACCCTATGATATGCTTGTACATAATGCTTCCCTTTCTCCTCTCTCACACTTTATGGTGATACCCCATTCATATGGTGATACCCCATTCATATGGTGATATGGAGAGATTTATCATTTCTCCACTGGCATTTTGGGAGCCATTTTTCTTCAGAAAGACCTCTGCTCCACACAGCTTAAGTAAGGTTGTAAACATGCTTTAGAGTTAATTTCCAGTGACATTCAATTATCAAAATAGTTGCATAGCAGATAGCCTTAAGTTTGTAGCTTTCGGCACCTTCACTGCTGCTTTTACTGACTCTGAGACGATTTTACAGGATTCCCTTTTACATATTATGTCCTTGCCTAAAATGTGTATGTCTTCCAAGTCCCAGGTGAGTTGTATTGTTTTCACTTGTAGCATGGCAAAGAAAGGAAACTGTCTGATTCTCTCCCCATGCCCTTCCATAGGAGACCGTAAACAAGGTTTGCACAGTATGAATATGATGGAGGCAGCAGCATCAGAGCCCTCATTGGATCTGGATAATCTAAAGTTGTTGGAGGTAAATGTTCAATTCTGTTACTTAATCTTCATTTTCATTCAGTGTAACACTATTGGTCATACAACTTCCCAGATACAGTTATGGAAATAAATGCATCAGTGCTCCTGTAATGTTTTCTTCTAACTCACATTTGAAAGATGAAATTAGAAGACAAAAGAAAAGGAAAGGTTACCACAGTTACATTTTGCCTGCTTTTGCTGGTAGTTTTGTTGGTATTGGCTAGAACATGTTCTACCTTGAGAAGAAAATACTGAACACTGGGAGGTAATGGAGGAAATTGGAATGTGCTGTATTTCAGCATTGCGTCAAAAGATCAATCTTTTTGTTTGACACAGATGGCTTTAAGTACAGTATCCTACCACAGTCATTTGAAATGCTTTAGTAACACTACTGGAATATAGAATTTACTGCAGGTAGGCAGTATATTGCAGTAGTGGTGTGTTTATGTATAGTCATTCTTCACAGTAGGGTACTCTCTATCTCCATGGCAACTAGAGGCCAACTAGAACTTTCTACTGAGCTTGGTATGAGACGTATCATTGTACAACAGCAAAATGTTATGCTCTCAATTGGTATGCTTGATAGAACTTACAGAATGTTTAAAAGCTTTTAGCCAGAAAATTAATCAGTAACATGACTGAGAGAGATTCAGAGTATGGTGCTTTCCTTTGCCCACTAGAAATCACACCTGGAGATGCAGACTGCAAGCATTCAGTATGGTCTGGGCTAATGGTGAGGGCAGACTAATCAGCAAAGAAGCTTGGGTGCCTTGGGCCATCAAAAAAGTACTTGAGGCAGAGTTCACAAGAGTATAACAATGCCTGTTGTAAATGTGTGCAAAGCCCCAGGTGAAATCACTCATGCTGGTATGCAGTCTTGGAAAAAGCAGCTACTTTGTTGGTGGAAAGATCTGCTATGAGATCTCCTGTCCTTTTAAATCCAAAGGAGCTGATTCCTCACCCCCAGTCATAGGGTGTTGCAGAACAAATTGTCTTAACCTGTGCTTGCCTTTTCACATCTCTGTGGGTAGAATACATTCTGGGTTTGTACCTTGAAGTGATTTGCTGCTGCTTTGCAATCCACTGACATGGAAGGATTGAGAAATGGAAAGTCTGTCTGGTAAAGGATGCTTTCCTGTTGAAAACTTTCCCATTGGACAATTCTATCATCCTTAGAAACATTACTTCCGTAATCCCTTCTGATTTCCATTTGTTCTCCATTTGTAAGTATTTAAGATAGTAAAAAGATACTGGTCCGTGAAATCCTTACAGTTTCATGTCTAGGTCTTCCTGAACTGAATATTATTTGAATCAAATAAGTGTTTAAATTCTTATGTAGTTAGAATTTGTTGAGTATTAGAAACCAGGATTCTTCTGGAGGTGGTCCTACGTTTTGGTTTAGAGAAGAGATTGAATCTTTCTTCAGTTGCTATGGAGACAGGAAAGGCCATTCTCTGAAGACTGTCTAACATAGTGGGGGCTAGAATAAGAATTCACAGGTAGTAAAAAACTAATTATTCCTTTCTTTTAAAAACTCTTTACCTCTTTTTGTATCTGTTTTCACTACAAATGCATACGCTTTTATTACTGACCTAAAAGGTACACCTTATAAAGCTATCCTAAACATAAAATATTCATCTTAATGGCTGTGATCTCTGCAGTTAATTAAAATTGATCATGTAAAAACTATAAATGTAAGCAAAGTTTAAGAAGAGAATTAGCAGCACAAAACACATGGATTTTATTGATTCTGTATATAAAACTGTTGAATAGCTTATGTATGATTTATTCACTGGGTATTCAGACTATAGATCAGTTTAGTAAGATCTAAGTTGACCTGTGCTGATGTTTCCAATTCCAAAATAGCTTTTATGACAGTAATCCCATTCTAGTTTTCAATGCAAAACATTCACTATACTCACTGTTGTTTCTAGTGTCTGTCAGTATAAAAGTTGGTGTACAGTCTTTTTAGAGTGAAAACTTGGGGTTTGTCTTCATTTGTTGTTTAGTGAACTACTTATTTACATCTATTTGCAGCTGATTGGCCGGGGGCGGTATGGAGCGGTGTACAAAGGTTCCCTAGATGAACGTCCAGTTGCTGTCAAAGTCTTTTCTTTTGCCAATCGTCAGAACTTTGTCAATGAGAGAAACATTTACAGGATTCCACTGATGGAACATGACAACATTGCCCGCTTCATTGTGGGGGATGAGAGATTCACTGCAGATGGCCGCATGGAATATTTATTGGTGATGGAATATTACCCCAATGTAAGTGCTTCAAAGAAATCAATTGGGTTGGTTTAGATTCCTAAGAATAGCCATATAAAAAGGATATACTTCCATATTTGCCAGTGCTTTTCATTGCTGCTTCTTGCACAGTAATGTAAAAATAATCCATACAAATTACAATTTTAATGAACCTTAGTGTGGTTTATTGTAATACCCTTTAAGATTTCCCAGTTAGTTCAACCAAATGTAGTCTTGACAAAATCTTAGATTTAGTATTTGCTCTTGGTTATGGTGCAGGTTTCTTCAGTCAACTGTGCAATATTCAGGTACAGAATCTGAAGAGTTATTTTTACTTAAACATTATTTAATTTAGAACTTTTTAATATTAAGACATTGTATCTGTTATGGTAGTTACGGTCTCAGTAGCTACTGAGTAAATGGTGGGTTGTTTTGTTTTTTCTTTACAAAGAAACACAATAGGTTGTTGTCAGACTAGCTTGTGGCACTGTAAATCATGTTGTCTTTTTATCCTGTTACCTTCCTTAAAGCTTTCTGTGGATACCATATTTATTTAGCTGTACCGTATATTGATGATGTAGGACACGTCTTAAGAAGGCAGCCTTACTTTCCAGAACCATATCTTCATGAACCATATGTTCAGATCTCCTTAGCTACCTGAATGCTTACATCCCGCAAATTCATGGATTTGAGTTCTTAACACTGTGTGTGTGTGTGCACAAATAGAAACAAAATGCTTTAAAAAAATCTAGCATAAATGTTGAATCGCTTTCATGAAAAATCATAAAAGTAATGTATATGGGTGCTATGTGTATGAAAAAGCAAATAATTTGTCTTGTATATGGGAAGAACTTTAACTGTTCAGTTAAAGAATGTTGGTCTCAAGTAAAGGAACTCATATTCCTCCAGTGTGTAAAGGTGATGGCTGAAGCCTGATTTGTTATGAGGACAGTAGGACAAAAACTACTTATTCAAGTAGCAAAAAGAAGCAGAACAGTAATAAATAGCAGTAATACCAGCCAGTCTTAGGCTCTAAGTATGTGCTTGTGTTGAAAGTTAAATGCATAAGTGTATATAAATATCTAAATATGTATGCAAATTTAAGGCAACATAGCGCTTCACAAATATATGAAGGGTACCTTAACTGAAACTTCTAAGTGAGAACACACTTGGATCATGACAGCCTGTAAGAGATGGGCATCTACAGAGAGATTTCAGAAACTGGAAATGACCATAGAAGCAGCTCAGTTTTGCAAAAGCACACCAATATTGGCCTGCTCTGGCAGAATAGGCTTATTGTCAACTAATATTCCGCTCCTGGAGGGGCATGGCATGACTGTCTTAACAGGTGATCTGGTTTTGCTGTTTTCTTGAATGAAAGGGGTTTCAGCTGAAATGTAATTTGATCGCAAATTGTGTCTTGTTGCTAATATAAACAGGAAACGTTAATGATCTGATTACATGCACAGATGATTCTTCTGACATCATATTATCAGGTTCTTTCTCAATATGGTATTAAGAACAGCAAGATTAGTCTAAAATCAATCCACTAGTGTCTTGGAAGTTATTGGAAAAAGTTCACAGCAGGTGTAATTAATGCACAGTGTGATCCTTAATTCAGGGAGCAGATGTTCTGCTGTGTGTGGCGCTAACAGCAGAGAAGGAAGCCTGCTGTGGCAGCACTACTAAAAAGAAATTGCACTGTTCAAACTGAAGCCATAAATCTTGTTTCAAGAAAGAGTAACCCATACAAGACGTGCAGGTGAAATACTCCCCATCCAAACCATCATTCTCCCTTGAAATACTTTCCTTCTTAGAAATAGGAACACACAAGCCTGAACATTTTCACACAGAAAATTGCTTGTGGTGTTGCCTTGGTGAAAGCAAAGCAGATAGGTTTGACCCAAATTGTGTTATTATCCAAACATATCTTGAGACAAAAAAAAAGTTAGTGAGCAAGTAATAAAAGGAAAGATACATGTATTTGTCAGCCAACGTGCTGTTCTGATAGTACTCTGAGGTGTGGCAGGTGAATAAGCAGAGAGTAAGTTGCAAGGGATGACATAGTAGGAAATATGTAATGGTCACAGAATTGTCCCCCCCGTAGTCAGACATTCATGTCTTTTTAGAACAACAGAAAAACTGTTGGAAAAGACATAGAATCTTATGACTGTTAAAACCATCAAAAGTTTGTTTGTATCAAAAGTTATAATCAGAACACATGTCCACCATTTAACATGTAACTCATGACTCTGACAAGAATAATCTTAATTGCAGATATGTATCTCTCTAAATCTTGAATACAGCTTTTCCTGATTGTCATATTGAACTTCACCAAAAGCATAAAATCATAGCCCTCAGCTAGCTTAAAAATACCTGGTGGCTAGCGCGCTCTGCAGCAGAAAGATCTTGAAGTTGGTTTGACATCATCATGCAGTGATTGATTTCCAGTCACACCATGACAACAGTTCTGTAGCCTCTCAGAATGGGCTAGAATCTCAGCCCACTAAGCCAAGAAGATCTCTTACTGCACCCAAGTTGCTGGCAGTGAGAGGCTAATAAAAGTTTTTATATTTCTTAAAAAGCCTTAAACAATAAGGATAAAAAAAGTAAAATTCCTTATTTCTAGGTGGATCCTCAGGGTTTTTTTTAATTACCAAAACCGCTTTGAGATTCATGTAACAGCATTTTAAACAATGATAAAAATGCTTGTGTAAAGCTGTATGAGTGACATTTGTTCTGTGTTTTCACCAAGGAGGTTACCTGTTTGTGGGTTCCTTGTTCTGCACATGCTAAGCCTGCAAAGCTGTAACTCTGGTAACTTCATTAAGGAGTGTTATGAACTTGGTTTTAGTTTTAGCATTGGATTAAAATGTCTAATGCCTTGATCACTTTAAATTGTGGTGTTGGTGTGCCTCCATCTGAACTGTGCATGTGTTACACACCTGAATGTCAGCTCCAAGTGGCACACACCAGACTTTACATTTGTAAACCAAATGTTACATAGCTAATTTTTTAATAAAGTGGTTTTAGTTGTAGCTATGGTAATGTTACACATTGGTGCATTTTTAAGCTTACAGATTTAAACAGGCAAAACCAGGGTAGTTTGTAGTTATAAATATATTGTACTATGTATGCAGAGTCAACTGGATGGCTTGTTCTTCATGCATGGGGATTTAGTTTGTTTAAACTGAGTATATTGTCATTGGGGACTGTGTGCATAAAAACTGCTCAAAGGTATTATAGATGGACAGGATCTGGCTCTTGTTTCAGATAGCAGTCTCTGCTTCTAGAAGACCATCATTGACACCCATCCTTCTGGTTTTCTTGGAGATTCCACCACAAATTACTAAAAAATCTCCCGTTTTCCACATTTAACTTCTTCAGTGTCTCCTATTCTGAAATGCCTGTGAGTTGTTAGGGTTTTTTGATACAAAAATAGTTTATAGCAGGGAAGATACCAGTGAGAGATGTTGAATATTCTATAAGTGCTGTTGGCTTAAAGGCCACTATGTAGTAATTCAGGCTGTTATGTCTGCAGTTAACTAGTTCTCTTGTTCAGTAGAAGTTTTTCAGAACAACAGATCCAAATGCATGCTTTGCTTTGGGTTTATAATTAATATTGCTGTTCCTAAAGGCAATCCCTGTTATTTGTGATAAATTTTCTGTTCCACTTTAGATAAACCAAATGGTAGCACTAGCAATTAATGAAACGTTGGTCCTGTCTTGTGTTTTAGAACATCCGTTTAAATACAGGAGCACTTGCAGGATTACACCTTACAGGAGCAATGGATGAAACTGGTTCTCATAAAGACTCTGAGTTATTCAACTGGACAATGTTTTTAATTCTTTGTTTTGTTCTGGGTATTTTTAGGGTTCTTTGTGCAAATATTTGAGTCTCCACACAAGTGACTGGGTGAGCTCTTGTCGTCTGGCACACTCTATAACTAGAGGCTTGGCGTATCTGCACACGGAGCTACCTCGAGGAGGTAAGGCCAGGAAGGGTGCCAAGATGTTCAAGATACTCTTTTTTTTCTATCAGGTAGTAGATGCCTGCATTTCTTTTTTCTCTGTTACAGTGTGGTGAGTAGGGGTTGATGAATGCAAATAGAGATTACTCAGAACTTCTGATATGTTCTTTCCTTCTGAACAATCCCATGCTGTGGGCTCTGTCTGTGATGCTTGTATGAAAACATGGAGTAAGAGCTAGCAGAGCCCTAGAGAAAGGCAAGAGGAGGAGGCAGAGTTGTGCAGTGCTGCTGTATCATGGCAACAGATTACTGAAGACCTGAAGCGCTGGATGTCTGTCTAGCAGAGAGCAAACAGATGGGGTGTTCTGTTTGTGTTTGCAGTTCAGACGCATATCACCAAAGCAATTTTTAGTTTGTGTATGAACTATATATATACACAAAGAGAAATAATTAAATCTTCTAACTCCACTGTAGTTTATCACGTCTTGATTTTTGTCTAAGGGTGTGGGCCTAGTCTTCGCTGTGTACAAACAATACTGCTGGACTTTCAGTGTTTTATTAGAGCACTGGATGTGACAGCATATTGATTTATACATTGATTTCTCTGCTTGCATGCTTCAGCCAGCATTTCAGCAGCTGAAGTATCATGATTATAAAGCAGATATACTGAGATCTGTGATTTATCAGGCTGTGGAATATGGCCTGGCACTGAAGCGTTAGCTTCTTGGCAGTAAATAAAAAGATGATGTCATTAATTCTACATGAAGGTGCTAATGTTTGGATTAAAACCCCAAACTATGTATCTCAAATGTTAAGCATCAACTCTAGCAAAGAATGACAACTGAAGAGGCTGTTAAATGTGCGACGCTGAGAACATCTAAATCAGTATTCCCAGGAGCCACTGAAACTGGAGCTATCATCTTAACTTCATCATTTAAAAATGAGCAGACAGGTGTGTCCATTAGTAGCCAGAAAATGTGTAAATCTTCCGTCTTAAAGAAGAGACAGCCATAGGCTGGTCTGTCAATGCTAGGAGGGAACTCATGGAGTAGAATAAATTCCACAGTAAAACTGGTTCTATACTGCTGGCTGCTTTACCAACAAAATAAGTTGCATATAAACTAGGAACAATTGAGATTATTCTTTGGAAAAGATCAAATGCCTTGCAAGATGGATGTGTTCAGCCTCTCTGGAATAATATTCACAGAATCACAGAATCCTAGGGGTTGGAAGGGACCTCAAAAGATCATCTAGTCCAACCTTCCTGCAAGAGCAGGGTAACCTAGAGTACATCACACAGCAACTTGTCCAGGTGGGCCTTGAATATCTCCAACGTAGGAGACTCCACAACCCCCCTGGGCAACCTGTTCCAGTGCTCTGTCACTCTCACAGTAAAGAAATTTTTCCTGATGTTCACATGGAACCTCCTATGCTCCAGTTTACACCCATTGCCCCTTGTCCTGTCACTGGACATCACTGAAAAAACCTAGCTGCATCATCCTGACACTCACCCTTTAGATGTTTGTAAACATTGATGAGGTCACCCCTCAGTCTCCTCTTCTCCAAGCTAAAGAGTCCCAGCTCCCTCAGCCTCTCCTCATACGGGAGATGTTCCACTCCCTTAACCATCTTTGTAGCTCTGTGCTGGACTCTCTCCAGCAGCTCCCTGTCCTTCTTGAACTGAGGGGCCCAGAACTGGACACAATATTCCAGATGCGGCCTCACCAAGGCAGAGTAGAGGGGGAGGAGAACCTCTCTTGACCTACTAACCACACCCTTTCTAATGCACCCCAGGATGCCATTGGCCTTCTTGGCCACAAGGGCACATTGCTGGCTCATGGTCATCCTCCTATCCACCAGGACCCCCAGGTCCCTTTCCCCTTCACTACTGTCCAGCAGGTCAGGCCCCAACCTGTACTGGTACATGGGGTTGTTCTTCCCCGGATGCAAGACTCTACACTTGCCCTTGTTGAATTTCATCAAGTTCCTCTCCGCCCAACTCTCCAGCCTGTCCAGGTCTCGCTGAATGGCAACACAGCCCTCTGGTGTGTCAGCCACTCCTCCCAGTTTAGTATCATCAGCAAACTTGCTGAGGGTACATTCAGTTCCCTCATCCAGGTCGTTGATGAAAATATTAAACAGCACTGGTCCCAGTACCGACCCCTGAGGGGGGGGGGGGGGGTCTAAGTATCTTCTGAATAGGTGCCAATTCCAATCATAATGTGAATAGTTGGAGCTGTATTTGACACAGGAGTTGTGGATATGAGTGAGAGCATTTGGAATGGCTGTCAGGGCTGTGGCAGCAGGTCTGTGTTCAAGTACACGATGTCTCCCCTGCCAAAATCATGCTGAAATATCCTTGGAGAGGAGTTTCTTGGCAAACACTGAAACTGTATATAGCATTAGCCTAATACAATGTATAGCTACAGTGAAACCCCGAATGCCAGTCAGTTTTCTATAGGTAGCATGCTGTGGAGCTCATTATAAAGAAACAAAAATGTTAGCTTTCTAAAAGATAAGTTGATTTTCTGTTTGTAATAGCCGAGTAGACATAATGAGGTGTTCTCATTTTGCCAAACAGTAGAACTGCTCAAATAGTAACAAGCACTTCTGTATGTCCAAATAGACCATTACAAGCCTGCAATATCCCATCGTGACTTGAACAGCCGTAATGTCCTGGTGAAGAATGATGGAACATGTGTAATTAGTGATTTTGGGCTCTCCATGAAGCTGACTGGAAACAGACTGGTACGCCCAGGTGAGGAGGATAATGCAGCCATTAGTGAGGTAAGTACAAATGAGGATAAAGAAAGAAAAATTATAGTAACATTTAGAAATAGTTGGTTTTGTTGTTACAAGGTGAATGTTAAGGTGGTACAATTTCAGTAAGGAGAAATAGTTGCAATATGGGTAAGAAGTGACTAAAACCTTGATAGAATCTGGTTTTATTCTCAGAACACTCAAAACTAAATCTAGCATTTTGAAAGGTGATAGACTGTCAGTCAGCCCTGGAGGCTGAAGTTTTCTGTGTGAGATGCAAAAAGATGCAAGGTAGGTTTGGTTGCCATATTGCTTGCAGTGATGTGGTACAGGTCCCTTCAGTCTTATACTGGAAGTATCAACTGAAGACCAAACATTCTTTGGTGGTTTTGGTGTTAACGTTTCTGAGATGGTGACATACTGCACTTTACATCCTGCAGCCATTCCTCTGTGTGTCATCTGCAGTTTTCTGGACCTGGGAGAGTAAGTGCATGTAGAAAGATATGGACCAGCTGAGAAAGAACAGAGACAATATAACAGGGAGTACTTGAAAGAGTAGCTTCTCGGAAAAGATGAAAGAATGAGGGTTGTTTAGGGAAGTAAAGACAAGAGACAGGTCTTCAAATATGTAAACAGCTGCTATGAGAAAGGAAAAAACTATTTGCATTCAGTGTGGATAGGACAAGAGGTAATGGCATTATGTTGCAGAAAGAAAAAAAATTAGGTTAGTTATGAAGAAATCTTTCTAATCGGTAGAAGGCAGCCAAGGTCTGGAATGGACTGCTGAGGTAGGTTATATAGAATTTGCATCATTTTATGAATTTAAGGAACAGATTGGGGAAACATCTGCTAGGAGTGGGTTAGAATGGATTCTGGACAGAAAGAAGAAATTGATTTCTTAGGCTTTTGTGACGTGGTGATTCAGAGAGTGGGGGGTTTGTAGTTTTCTTTTTTGTATAAGAATAAATACACTGACACCTGAATATAGGCTACGGAAATACAGTGAGACTCTTTTAAACAAATAATGGTTCAGCATATTTGTTGGTTTTGTTCTTTTACAGAAAATGCTTACATTCCATTCAAAGAATGTGTTTTTCCAGTGCTAATCACCTTCCCTTAGAAAACAGGTGCTACGTTAACAATACCTAATGCACAGGTCCTCTTTACAGATCTCCCCTTACTGAACAAAGAAACAGGGAAACCACTGTTTGAAATGCAGGGGTATGGAATAGTCCCATGACAAAATACTGTCCTACAAGTACTGATGAGTGATTGCTCTAATCTAACATATGTCATATTGGAAATGATAATAAAAGCTGCAAGGCTTTTAATAGCCTTTGACTGGGGAAGATGTAGGGGAGAGCCTTGCTGCCAGTCCAGGGATATAGAGAATAAGTTCCTTGTTCAGCATCCTCTTCCATTATGATCCATACCTTGGTGTTAACAGAGTAATTTCAGGGAAAAGAAACATTTCTGTTATATCGTATTACTGAAGAGAACATTGAGTAAGGGACAAAATTGTTTTGGTACATGCAAATAAAGTGATAGAGTGGGAGAAGGGACTTATTATGACTCAGCTCCTGATAAGAGTCTAGAAACTGGGGACACTGATTAGAACAGGACTGCATTTTCTTTGAGTGTAGAAACTATCAAAAAAGTGGGATATTTAAAAAATATAAATCCCAATAATACATTGAATTTGGAAATCGCTGCCTGATTCAGAGCTTTGATTTTCTGTTTTCCAGGTTGGTACAATCCGCTATATGGCCCCAGAAGTTCTTGAAGGAGCAGTGAACTTGAGGGATTGTGAATCTGCATTGAAACAAGTAGATATGTATGCGCTAGGCCTTATCTACTGGGAGATATTTATGAGATGTACAGACCTCTTCCCAGGTAACTAAATGAAATGGAAAACCGCACAATACTAGAAAGTGGTACTAGCAACCAAAGCTACTCCCTTGCCATGGCTTTCTAAAGGGAAGAAGGGAAATAATGTTCTCAATTGTTTTTGCCATTAAGTCGGTGCCATCTAGCGTTCAAGATGATTGTTGTCAATAGAGAGTAATTGAGTGTGGAGCACAGTTCATGCTCAAAAGACTTTAAATTCCCTGTTTAAGCAGTTTGCAGGCCTCATGGTAAGTATAATTTGAACATTATTATCAAGCGTTTACAAACACTGAGAGCTGGGCTTATGGCAAGGGTAGTACTTCCAGTTCTTGAAACTGATAAAAGTGCCTAAAGTGACTTTCCCTCATGAAAGAATAGATGGGAAAGTTCTGTGATTTAATGTAGCCTTTATTCAGTCATGCTTTTATTTCTGCTAGTGACATTCAAAACTCAGGGAAATCCTGCATACCTATAACATAAAAGAAGAGGAAGTAGTCTTTTAAAATGTAACACAAGATTGTATCACAACCAGCACCTTCTTCCCAAGATAGAGCATATAGAACTAGTTAGACATGCAGCATTCTCTCTCTAGTAGAACAGCTGCAGTTTCTGTGGACAGATCTTTCATCTCACTGGGCTTCCTCTGAAATGAAGTACGTTAATACAGTCAGTAGTGACATTGCACAGAAATTAGGTGTCATCCTCAGGCTCTTGAGACATTCTGAATGTGCCATTCAGCCAGCAGAGTTTGGAGATGTTATCCTCAGAGACATTGCTGACCAATGCTTAATTCTTGCAATTAAATCACCTGAGTTTTTTTGAAGTTAGACTTTGAGGGAAAGTGGAGAACATCTCAATAGACAACAACTTTGATACTGGGTTTCATCAGCTGAAAGCCCTTGCTCTGCCTTTTATCAGTGATTTTTTTTCTTCCTTTCTTTTGCTAACAGGGGAATCTGTGCCAGAGTACCAGATGGCTTTCCAGACAGAAGTCGGAAACCATCCCACTTTTGAAGATATGCAAGTCTTGGTGTCTAGAGAGAAGCAAAGACCAAAATTCCCAGAAGCATGGAAGGAGAACAGCCTGGTGAGATAGAATCTTTTCAAAGAAACAATCATTAGGGTGTAGTCATTTCTTAAAAGCAATTTTTTAATACATTCTTTCCTTTGAATTATTGTTAGTAATTAAGGATTGGGAGCTGCTTGTGTCTGGACCTAGTGGATATTCAGTTCTGTTTTAGAGAAGCCACTCACATGAAAGCTACATTTCTTTTAAGAAAAAATACTTTGGTTATTATCGGATACTGGAGTGCGATACACAAAAGACAACTTGTTATATTAATTGTTAGACAGTGTCTGTAGTATTATACACGAAGTGCCCATATGTTCTCTGTATGCTGGATGAGAAACATAAAAGCATTTTCTGCCTTTGACATCTTATAAACTAATAATACCCTAAAGTAGTTGGCAAAAAATGTAAATATCCTCTTCCAGAGCTAACATCTATACACACTGTAATGCTTTCTCTGAAGTTGTATAATCTTCAGAGTTTGCAGAGGCTACAGCTTCTAGCAATCATTTCATTATAACTACATTAGGAATTTTATATGGCTTCACTTGATCTGCAATTTTTCTTTTCAAGACTATAAACATAGTGATGTTGTTTTGCATTAGTATAGCTGTGGCTTAGAGCCCTGCTTGCTGCTGCAGGCCAACAAGTTATGGCAAGTCAGGACTCTGGTAAGAGTCTGTGTGCTTGCTTTCATCTGCAGCAAAGGTGAGGTAATGCGAATGCTCTTAGTGGGGGGGGGTGCTTGTCTTTTATTAAAAGCAAAGTGAAATGCAAAACAGTTACTACTGGGCTCCACCTGATACATGCTAACTTGTTTAAGCTAAATTAGTTGGATTGCGAGTATGAAAACAATATAGTTGACTCTTACTTTAAATGATACTTTTATTTATTCCCTTACTGAAATTATACCCTGCAATCTTCAGAGACTTTGCTAGCTGATAAGTATGTAGCTACTGTGCAGATAATGGGGAGCCTAAGGCCTCATCTGTGCTGGTACTTGTAAATATGTATGAAACAGTTTTCAGAGAGGAGCATAGCCTCCAGTATTAGCAGTGGTGTAAAACATGTTGTAACTGAGTTGAGAGCTTCATAGAGGAGTTCTTTCATGACACAGTTTTGGCCAGCTGGTCTCGGTTGGGGGAAGAGAGAAAAAACAATCCACACCCAAACTCTATGGGAAATCAAGCAGCAACTGTTTTAACTATGGCCATGTTGGCAAATGCAGTGTTGGAAGAACCAAGCTCGACAGCTGGTTTTGAAGACAGTTATGACTAAAACAGTTCAAGGAGGTTTGTTTTGTTATGCAGACTACCATTTTAAATGTTAATTATGGCCTAACAAGCTGATAGACTCCAGCACTATTGGATGATCCCCAGATTTAAACTGTCTCGCACATTCGTTGTGTTGTCACTGATGTTTCTGCAAAAATTAAACATAGTAATTAGTGATGAGGATAATAAGTCCAGCTCTAGGTGTGGATCTGCATCATTGCTTTATGAGAAAAGAAGAAGAAATAAGCAATCCATAGGTCTCTTATGTGCATCAAGCAACCTACTCCACCCCGTGCTGATCTGGGATAACATCTGAATGAGCACTCTAGGAGACATAATGTAGAAAATAAAGCTTCAAATAGCCTCACCCTGGACCCAAGTCCTAACCTGCTGTATCTAATGCATGGGATGAAAGGCTTCTGTCCATTATTTAAAGCTCTGCTCTCTGTTATAATCTCTGTTGGATTATAACACTTTCATGCAAATTTGTCTATTGAAGAAATTTATTTGTCTTTTTCATTTGAGAAATAAAAATTAATGCTTTATTTTGTAGGTCACATAATTAAGGCACTCAAAAGATGTAGTATCCTAAATTTATGATTACCTATGCAGTCTCAGTTTGCCTCCTGAACATATGCGTTATGATACAGACCTTGATTAGCGGTATTGTTTTTCACAGTATACATCGCCAATCTAAGCAGATGATGTGCATAAAATAATTCAAGGGCTATAAACTGATTTGAGATGTTAGTAACATTCTTTCATCTGCCAGAGCCAGAGCAGAGCCCAGGCTTGACTTCAAAGGTCAGGACTGAAGGATATTAACAGAGGAAAAGAATAATGTAGATTTCCTGTCCCTTCTATCTTTTTTGAGTACTAAAATTTCTAAATAGTGCATTTTAGGATGGATCTCTTTGAACCTGAAATTAATAGAAAACACGTTACAGTGGTAAATGTGAAGCTCTAGAACTTGACTTCTGTTAACTGTCTGTACAGTCATCACTGTGCTTCTTTCATGATCCTTAAAACATCAAAAGGAAAGGATCTGTTAGAAGAGAGACAATATTAAATTGAGCACTGGCTAAATTTACTGCTGGTGAAACCTGTAGGGGAGAGGGGGCAAGAGGGGAGTTTAGGGTGTTCATTAGATACATTGTAATTGTGACTAAATGAAGTTCTGAAAGCCAAATGAAGGATTCTTATTCTGGGGGAAAAAATGGATCCAGTACACTATTCTGCCATTGACCCTGAGAATGCTTTTAGACTTACGTTCCTTAGCTAGGAGGGGTGTAGTTGCTTGGGCCTTCCTTTACCTGCTATGGGAAGGGAGATAAAAGGTTTGCTTGTGTGGGAGCTTATCCCCACCTGTGCAACCATAGCTGCATCACTAAGCAGCAGTGACTTGCCAGATGCAGGCAATGCCAGGAGCCTGCTCTGTGGATTAGGAGCTCTTGGCTACTATGCAGAGCTAGTCCTGGCTTTCACTGCCAGAAGTGGACAAGGCAGTTCTGGCGCAGAAGCAGTCAGCAGGACCCACTGAATGCCTTAATGCCCAGCTGGGACTGTGCACAGTCATTGGTGCTGGAGAGGTTAAAGCTTGGCTGTAGATGTGAGATGTTCTGGCAGATCATATTCTATTCCTGGGCCACAGACTGACAGCAGGGGCCAATAAGTCTCTGCCTGTTTTTTGTACTCCGGATGCAGTGGAAGCAAGAAGTGTTCATTGCTCGTAATTTCAGTTGTCTCCTCTCCAGGTCTCTGACCATATGGCAGCACATTTTGGAGGCCTTGAGCTCTAATTCTGACTGCACCATTCACCCGCCAGTGTGATCCCAGGAATGTGTGTGTGTTTGCGTTTCTCCGTCTGTAAAAGAAGGGCAGCAATAATATTCTCCCATAGCACAGACAAATTCTCTGATATTTATGAGGCATTTGGATGTTACAGTAGTGAACAGAAGAAGAAAAGTATGATGAAATGGGCAAGGCTGTGTTATTTGCATATACAGTGCAGGGAAGCAAGGCAGGGACCATTAGCTGAATTGTGGGGATGACAATTTCCAGAGTATCATCAATCCTTAGTACACAGCTTTCGTAAGGCAGGGAGAGTGAGCTGAGCATGAATTAACCAGAGAGGGCTGGCTGCAGGTTGTATAGACACTGGTGAATGTAGCTTTTCCCAAGTAATTGTCTTCCCAGTTGGTGTGTGTGTGAGGTATGATAATAGTCCTGCATATTTCTGATACTGAGGTAAATTAGTTTTAATTGAGGTTGTGTATATTCTGTTTCTCACCAGCTTGTGACTATTTTCATGTGTACAGAATGCTGTCATAAAAAAAGTAAATTAGAAGCACAGTATGAAGGGAAAATATAAGATAAAGGGGTTTTATTTGTTTCTTGGCAGGCTGTGAGGTCGCTTAAAGAAACAATTGAAGACTGTTGGGATCAAGATGCTGAAGCTCGACTAACAGCGCAGTGTGCTGAGGAGAGAATGGCAGAACTCATGATGATTTGGGAGAGAAATAAATCAGTCAGTCCAACCGTCAACCCTATGTCAACTGCCATGCAGAATGAGCGGTAAGAAGAGAAAACACTTGGTTTTAGTCAGCAGCAAATGCCCAATGCAATGCTCAGCCCAACTTCAGAAAGGAAGGTAGAGCTAGCTTGGTGTTTCTGCAGGCATGAAGTGGGGGTGTTACGTGAGCTAGTCTACATATGGGTATTGTATGACATAATCCTGAGCACTTGTGTTCTTAAGATCTCCTGTGTGTCCTCAGAATTAAAACACCTTTTATGCAAACAACTGTACTTCTCACAGGGGGGCCTTTTAAACTGGACTTAGGCAAACTGTCTAGACAGGCTTGCAAAGATATGAAGTGACTGAATTCTCTTTAAGGACTTGCTAAATGATGCATAAAACTGCTGTTTAAAGTGTCCTACTGAAAACTGAATTTGCAGGCAATCTGAGCTCAGGAGATCACCGAGTCTCAAGCCTGCAGCTTTTCAATTAAAGAGCTGTGGGGCCATCATTTAAGTCATCATTATTCTGACCCCAGGGAGAGAAGTGCTGTGCCTTGTCTGCTTATGTATGATCCAGAGGGAGTGAGAATTTGCAGAACTGACATTTGTGCTTAATAGTATACACTAGAGATCTAGATTTGAGAGCAATGTTGCTATATGTAGCAGAATTTATTGTCTTAAAAAATCTTGCAAATCGCAGAATACCTCAATTGTTGAAATATTAGATTTTTCATTGTTTAGGACCTTGTGACTTTTTCCCAGCATCAGTTTATCCATCTTATGTGGTTAATTCTTGTCCTCCTTCACTATCACTTCTCTGCAGCTAGAGCAGTATCTTAGCAGTGAACTGGACAAACAGCATACTGGACAAATAGAAGAAAATTACTGTTAGCCAGTTTAGTTGTATAAACACCATCCATGACACAATAGCTGTCCTAGTAAAACCAATTTTCTGCTACCCAGGATTTTTCAAGGAAGTTACTGAAACATCTCAGTTTATACTGTATCTGTCCTTAGTTTATGCATGGAAAGAAACAGACATCCAGCTCTCTTAAATGAGAGGCTTTGTAATATGAGGTGATTTTTACGTATATGATCTTACTGTCACTTATTTTTTTCTTAAAGGAATCTGTCACATCATAGACGTGTATCAAAGATAAGGCCATATCCAGATTACTCTTCCTCTTCCTACATTGAAGATTCAATCCACCACACTGACAGCATAGTGAAGAACATTTCTTCTGAACATTCAATGTCCACTACACCACTGACTTCAGGGGAGAAGAACAGAAACTCCATTAACTACGAGCGGCAGCAAGCGCAAGCTCGCATCCCTAGTCCTGAGACAAGTGTCACCAGTTTGTCCACCAACACAACCACCACCAATACAACTGGCCTCACTCCTAGCACTGGCATGACCACCATATCCGAAATGCCTTATTCGGATGAAACAAACTTACATACCACAAATGTCATGCAGCTGGGTGGGCCCACCCCTGTTTGTCTGCAGTTAACAGAGGAGGACTTAGAGACAAATAAATTGGATCCAAAAGAAGTGGATAAGAACCTGAAAGAAAGCTCTGATGAGAATCTGATGGAACATTCGCTTAAGCAGTTTAGCGGGCCAGATCCACTCAGCAGCACTAGTTCCAGCTTGCTTTATCCACTGATAAAACTTGCAGTAGAGGTGACAGGACAACAGGACTTCACACAGGCTGGCAATGGTCAAGCATGTTTGATTCCGGATGTCCCATCTGCTCAGGTGTATCCTCTACCCAAGCAACAGAACCTTCCGAAGAGGCCTACAAGCCTCCCCCTGAACACCAAAAATTCAACAAAGGAGCCACGATTAAAATTTGGTGGCAAGCACAAATCAAACTTGAAGCAAGTGGAAACAGGCGTTGCCAAGATGAACACTATCAATGCTGCAGAACCTCATGTTGTGACAGTTACCATGAACGGAGTGGCTGGGAGAAGCCACGGCATAAACTCTCATGCTGGCACAACCCAGTATGCCAATGGCACGGTGCCGTCTGGCCAGACCACCAGTTCGGTAGCACAAAGGGCCCAGGAAATCCTCCAGAACCAGTTCAGTGGAGAGGATAGTCGGCTAAATATTAATTCAAGCCCTGATGAGCATGAACCCTTGTTGAGGCGGGAGCAGCAAGCTGGCCATGATGAAGGTGTTCTGGACCGTCTAGTAGACAGGAGAGAGCGACCACTGGATACTGGCAGAACAAATGCCAACAACAACAACAGTAACCCGTGTCCAGTGCAAGATGCAGCTACAATCAGTGTCCAGAATGTAGTGAGAAATCCTGGGCAGACCCAGACTAGAAGAGCACAGAGGCCTAACTCGCTGGATCTATCAGCCACAAATAGTTTGGATAGCAGTAGTATGCAGTGTAAGTGCCTGCAGGACTTGAACAGTTTCTCTGATGCTTTTTTTACTTAATAGCTACATCTGTCTGGTAGAATAGAAGACACTTCTGCCTCTGCTGTCCCTCCTCAAAGCATACTCACTAAATCCCATAGAAATTTAATTTCTATCAGCACAATTTTCATCTCATTGGTAAAGTCCTGTTTCCATCAACTCCAGCACGTTAGGTCACTATCTTCCTTCCACATGCATGAAATACATCTGTCTTTTTATAACCTGTCTACTCTGACTGGGAAGGGAGTAATTTCTAACTTTCATTATTCCTTGCAAGGCACCTACCTTGGCAGCTGCAAAGTATATTGAAAAAGCTTCCTATTTGTTCCTTCAGGGGCACATTATATCTCTTTTCCTTATTTCTCGTCATTCTCTTAAGTGTAGCTGGCTCTAAGGTACATTGATTAAAATAGTTTATTATAGTAACTACTGACATGCTTCATTACTTTTAAAGCAACTGATTTGATTGTATTAGCCTAGCCTAGACAGAGGTTCAGGCTTTCTCTGCTTGGCTCCAACAATTCTGTCAATCCTTCATTAGTTCACCATGTACATATTAAAAATTAATCAAAGTAGTTAGAATCGATTTTAATAGACTCCTTCAAAATAACTGCCTTAAGAGTTTTATGGCCAAAGATCTAAGAGGTTCCTTTTTATAGTAAGAATGTAACCATGTAGTTCTAGTTTAATTAGGTGCATCCTCCGAGTTTGACTTTGGGCCTGTTGAAGCCGTGGGAAAGGCCTCCTAAGTGTGCATTTTAAAGTGAATTTATTTCCAGTATGCACTGCAGACTCTGAAAAGGTGCTTGCAAACTGACTGTGCTTAGGCAGATGCTGTGATACTACTGAAATAATCTGGGGGGCCAGGCAAGTTCTGAAAGAAAAGGTTTAGAAGGAAACTAGAACAAACCTTTCAAGAAATGTAGTTGGATATTCAGCAGTGAAATGTTTAAGCATTCCTTTTAAGTAGGAAACCTTAATTTTTGTCTTACCATGTTCTTCTGATTGAAGAAAACAGATTATTGCAGTAACTTTCTTTGATTAAAGGTTATATGAAGTAAAAGGGGGTTTTAACAATCAGATTTTTACTGCTAAGATTTTATCATGATTGAAGTTAATTTTTGCAACCCAGCATACCAAATCCTGACATGATCTTAACAGAGAATGGACCATTTTGTCTTCAGGTAAAATGCTTTCCCAGGTGAAGTAGGATATGGGGACCTATGGTTTGGTTATACTATAAGAAGTTTAGTCTTTGCCGTCTTGTCCTAGCGACGATTTTTTTGTACCTCCCATTACAGGTAATATAAGATACTATGATTGCAAAAGCCCCTCAAATGTCAAATGCTGATTCTGCTGTTTGATGCCAATGTGCAGTCAAGGTAACACAAATTACTTCAGTGAAGTAATTTCTGACAGAGAACAGAATCTGACCCCTTGTTTCAGTGGCAGCTACTGTAGATGATGTATGTATCATGCCTCTGCCACCCAGTTGCTTTTGTGTGATAAGATTTTGTTCTGTTCTTCTGTTCTGCATGAGTAACAACCCTGAACTCTCCAGTCGGATCTTCCTTGTAATGCTGTTTTCTACTCTGTTCTTGTTTTCTGTTTGGGTTTTCTTTTATTTCTATCTCGTCCCTTCAGTAGGCGACTCCTCGCAGGACGGCAAATCAGGCTCAGGAGAAAAGATCAAGAAACGTGTGAAAACTCCATACTCCCTGAAGCGGTGGCGTCCTTCCACGTGGGTCATCTCCACCGAGCCGCTGCACTGCGAGGTCAACAACAACGGCAGCGACCAGGCTGTCCACTCCAAATCCAGCACTGCCGTTTACCTTGCAGAAGGAGGCGCTGCCACCACAATGGTGTCTAAGGACGCAGGGGTGAACTGCCTGTGAAATACTTCAAAAGCCGGCAAATGACCTTTTTTTTGCATTATTTGAAACAACCATGCGGAAGACATTTTAATAAACTGCTTTCTCCTCCTGTCAGCAGCCCCCTCCCAAGGACTCGCTTTAAATAGATTTCAGCTATGCAGAAAATTTTTAGCTTATGCTTCCATATAATTTTTTTTTGGTTGTTGTTTTTATTTTTTTGGAACATTTTTGCACTTTTGATTTCGCCTTGCTCGAGTTCAGTCTGTCTGTCCCGACCACGGAATATATATATGTGTGTATCAAATGTGGTCACAAAATATTTTTTTAAGAAAAAAAGTAACAAAAAAAAGTATTGCTGATAATCAGTTTGGACCAGTTTCTTACGGTCACTAAGATCCGAAGCAGACTATAAGACAGGTTTGACTGCAGTGGTGTCTTGTTTAACCATGTTTTGATTTCTGTGCACAAGCTAGTCTGTATATTTCTATGTTACAAGTGTATTCTTTTTTGAACCCCCTGTTTTTCTTGTGTCATGTTGAAATGTGCAATAGTCTATAGTTCACAGTATGCTTTATTGAAGAGTGTGTTTCTAAAACTGCCACATGTTCCCCTTTTTGTATTTGTTCATTTTTCCCTGACAGCTGAGCAGTCGGCCGGTCATGACAGTGAACTTTGCACACCGTAGCCAGCCTGAAGCAGCTGGCTGTATCACATTGTGCTCTGAGGTGACAATGCATGAATTTTCCCCAACTTAAAAGGGCTTTTAAAAAGAAACAAAAGAAGAAAAATCTGAGCTCAGTACTATACCTTCAATCCTTCCAGGTCAAAATGTGTTCCCTTTATAGTAGTAGGTGCCAGCCTGTGAAGTTCTGAATAACAAAACTTTGAACAAATGTAAGGAAACTGTCAGCCGTTTTTTCCATTTTATCTTGTGTGCAGTTTCACCCCCTGTGTTTATGTAAAACCTGATTTTGATCACTGAAAAATACCTTGTATTCAGAAATCTTAGTAACTCATACCGAAAAGCTCTGGTGAAGGCAGGTTGTGAGTGGATGATGTATTTTGTTTACAAAGAGGAAAAATCATGACTCCTATTTGGCACAAAACCATTCTGTGGTGAGTCACAAATCTTTCCTCATTTACCTCCTTACAGACACTCTGGGGTAAAATCAGCCCCATTACTTAAGCAGGTAGGTGCAACCTAATTGACTGTTGTTGCTGAGTTGAGTTAAACTTGTCCTCCCTTCCAAGTTCTTAGAACCCCCAATTCATCTTCTTAAAATGTATTGCACGCTTTTAGAGCTCATGGTTCTGAGCTTTTGCGAGGGAGGCTTGGTGTTTCTTCCCTCTGCTTAGACCCTTCTTTCAGCTGTATGCACATCGATTTTTAGGTGTCAGTGAACATGAATGTAAAATCTATTGAGGTAAATTGTTCTTCCACCATCTCAAGTAAATCTTACCCCTTTTTCAGAATTATTGTTTTCAGTCTCTTCTAACAGAAATTTAATTTCCTCATTGGTCAGGACTTCCTTCCACCTGAGAAATATTCTTTCTGATAGAGAACATTTCAGTAAGAACTACTTTGATGAAAAAGACGTAACACATGTCAGTCTTTGGTACTGAGTGAAGTTTTACCACTTGATCTGAAAACCGATGCTGTTCAAAGAAAGAAAATCTATTCAGTCAGCCTGCCAAAGTCCTGTGGCAGGATACTGGCAGCAAACAATTGCCTCCCCCAGCCTGTCACCTTTCAGCTGACTGAAACAGATGCTCTGTGCTTTCAAGCTCATTTGTTTCCTTGCTGTTACATTATTTTTTCCCCGGAGGTAAACTTTGCCAGCCTTGTTCTTCTATATCTGATGATACAACAAGCATAATATATGCCTCGATATATCTGATTCTTGCTGTTTCCCAAAATCCTTTGTTTATGCTTGATTGCTATGATTTTCTCTTGTAATGTTTCTTAGATGCTCCTAGATATCTCCAAGAGATAACTATAAATCCGTACTTCGATTAAGTGTAGCTGTAGAAATACAAGCCATGAGACACATTATGGGCTCCCTATGCTCCTGAAACACCAGTTCAAGTAGTACCTTTCATCTCTGAAGCGTAATGCTGTTATCCATCTGTATAAATACAGAGTCCTATCTCCCCTCTTCAAAAATCCAGCCTTTCTCTGCTTTTACTTTTAATTCATTCCCTGGCTCCCCATCTGCTGCAATCTCGCATCCCAGATGTTGAAAACCTGCCAGTTGCTCAGCTGGGCTTCAAGACCTGAATCACGATTTTTGGCATTCTGTTCAGAATGCTGGCTTTGGTTTTCTTCTCTTTGGCCTTCTTTGAGTCTCCGGTTGAAGTATGGTATGTTGTTCTGTGATGATCATTGTATCATGCATATTGAAGATTCTTCATTCCTTTCCCAATGACTTTTTGCTTTGCCTTGCATGTATCATCCATCAGCATTTCAGAATGTGGGCCGAGAAGCATATTTAGTACACTTAGCTAATTTGCAACACTCTGAGGGAGAAAAGTGATTTTTCTCTGACTACTACTTCATTTTGCTAAGACAGATCTGCACCAGTCTTCTTCTAGCCTTCCTTTTCAGGCCCATCCTTTGTAAGAAATCCAGCTTTATGCTTGATGCAATCAAAGTAATTTTAATACCAGATGAAAATGTTCTGCAGTTTTCCCTTGAACACTCTTAAAGCAAACATAATAGTTTTTATTCCTTTATCTATTTCTGTCACTTGTTGGAGGGTCTCTGGGATGAATTATAAGTAGTAAAAAGTATTGACTTTGTAATCTACCATGGATAAATATAATCTGTAACATGATAGAAATATGTATTTTATCACAAAATACAAAACTGAGAAAAACTACTTTTAAAGGTCAGTCAAAACAAGCTCTTAAGTAGGTACCAAAATACTGTGATTCTGCACAGCTAGACGAGATCAGATTAGCAGTTTGGTTTTAATGCTTAATATAGTAATGCCCTTTTTTTTGTGCTCACAGCACATAATCCACAGATACTTTCTCTGTCAATTAAATGATATTGAATTGTATCTCATGTCATGAGGACTCATCCTTAACCAAACAAAATACATGTAAGAGAGACTTCTTCAGACCAGACACATGAATAGTTGATAAATGTAATCAGGGGAGATGAAATATGTTTTATTTCTTTGTGGTTTTGTTTTTTTTGGTTTTGTTTTTAAGAGAAATGGATAATGATGAAAGTTGATAATTTTCTATCAATTTCTCATGTATATTGCAGACAAGATAAATATAGCAAAATGAAAATAGAACGATAGTGTAAATACTTATGAATTGTGCCACTGTCAAATAGGCAACAGTAGAATATTTGCTATGGTAATTTATAATGTATAATTCAAGTAAAATGTTAGAGCAAACATTTGTGATGTTTGTATATATAAGCCAAAATCTTACTGGTTTTAGGAAACGATGTGCTAGTAGAAGCCAGAAGAGTTATTAGGTTAATGCATTGTCTCTTTTTCTGTTTCCTATAGTAGAGATCCTCATCAACATAACATGGTTTCTAGAATGTGAATTCTAACCATTTGAACAGACATGCCTCATAGTCAGATTTATTTTCTTCTAAAATTGATGTTTGTAAGTCAGACTGTCTGTCACACTTTCCCTGAATTCCCTTATAATGCTCCACGGCTTCATGTGCTAAGCAATTCTTACTAACAATGCCTCTCTTGAAAATCCAAGATTAAATTGCACAGCTAAAAGGAGTTCCTAATTTAAAAAACAGTTGATATTGTCATCTTTAGAATATTCTCAGAAACAAAGAACATTTCTGGTTTGCTTTTTTACTGCTGTTTGTTTGTCTTGATTCCATATAAAATCACCTCATTTTCAGATGCAACACAGTTTTATTATTTTCAATGCAGCAGGGACAAAAGAAACCCAAACCAAACAACAGAAACCCCCACCTTATAAATGCATTTAGAAAGTATGTATCTTCCCACCTGTCAACCTTCTCTAAAAGAAATCTTTAATATTACCTGCCTCAGAAAGAAGTATAAGGAAGTTCTGTATATGTATGGAATAGATGATTGGGCCAAATTTAGTACTAATGAATTGTTACTTAAAAATCTATGCGTATACATTGTATATGCCATCGTTTCAGTGTTTGGTGCATTCTGCTCCAATATTCCTTTTTTACATCTTAAAAAAAATAGTCTGCTAATATAATATTGCTACATCTATGTTCAGATTTCAGGAAAATATTCAGAAATTCATGGAGATTATGGATTATGGAAAGTTCAAGCCTAATTAGGGAGAATTTAAAAATTCACATATTTAGTCAACACAGGAGAAATCAGTTTTGCTGTAGTTTTTACTTGTATAAAAATAATGGCAGTTCCCATTGTAGAAGCAGGCTGGTTTTAAGTCATAAAAGCTATAACTGCTGAGCACAGTAGCATACACATGACCTGATATCTAATTGGAAAATTGGGGGCATCTTATCAAAGAAAAGTGAAACAGGCCTGATTAACCTATGACAGTTGGATCATAGACTGGACAGCTTAGTATTCTGCATAAATCTGAATTACTTGAATTTTTCTCTTTAGTCTCCCACTATCCATATTAACAGGTAAATATATTGACCTCCTTGTTTAAATGTTCTTACTACATTTTGTTTGACTTTAAGCCTTTCTTCAGTGAAAAAGCTATACATACTGCAGTTGCAACCAAATACATATTTTTAATGTAAACTCTGTATGTATTTAGATGCATATATATGCTGTGCATAAATTCCAGGATCAAGTTCTGAGTTACAGCATCAGATGGTAGCATTGGGAACAAGTATAATATTCTTTTTTGTGTGCCATTTTTTAATTGCCTTTAGTGCATCAGAGTAAAATTGGGCTCAGAGTATGACGTAGAGTCCAGTGGTGCAAGATCTCCAGTGACAAATCATTGATGGTTTAGGTGGAATGGATTTATGAGAGAGAGATGGGAATGCACATGACAAACTTTATCTGAAGCTGAGTAATTTAAGGTACCTCTCTTAGAGATCAAAGGGTAACCCAAAATTCTTAATACATGCTCATTTTTACGAGTTTTTTTTAATGTAGTAGCAATAGTTATGTGTGGTTGCCATTTAAACATAGTATTTTAGTCCAATAAACCCAATTACATTTTAGGCTTCTATATTGTCATATAAAACTGTAGCTGTAGAAACGCATCACTTTTTTGATATCCCCCCCGCCCCCAGAGGTTCAATTTTGATGTGAAGTAGTAACAAGTCAGGTTTCTCATTTTGAGGTTTCTTCTGTACTGACTAAACTGGTAGCAGAGCTTCTGCTTCCGCAGAAGGCACATTCAGGCACTCCATTGAATCACAATGGGAGTTATGTTTGGCACAAGTGTAGCTGAGGAACTCGACATCTAGGTTCCTGGCACTTGAGCTGAGCGCTGTTGAAATCAAAGAGGAGGCTGCCATTGACTGCTGGCAGTGGTTTTAAGAATATCTTCTGAGGATTAGCCCTGGGAAAGCTGAAGTGGAATATGGGACCACATGGGTGATGTTTTGAGGGGAATAAGCTGATGCATGGGCTCAGGCTGGGTCAGTACCAGTGTGGCTGTGATTCTTGTCAAGAAGGGGAACTGCACCAGTGGGAGTGGAAGGATTCAAGGTAAACCCTTATCTACACCAAAGCCCTTTAATATTGATCCGGGCTTCATGCAGGTCTGATTTGGTGACTGCTGCGGTGCGTTACTCGTCTGAATTACTTTTTATGGCCATTCCTATTTATTTCACTGTGGTTTAATATACATATGTGCATAATAAGCAGGAACTAGTGAGAGTTACGTTAACTTATAATGTAATTGTCAGATATTTTAAAAAGCCTGTTGATGAGAAGTAGTGTAAATCTGCAAGTCATTCAGTTGGTTAACTTCAATGCAAAAATCATGTTTCAACAGACACAGTAACTCACAAGTAAGGAAGGACTTCTTCCACGTTCTTGTAGGCTTCTGCAGATAGATTACAGGAGCATACATCCATCAGGGGCATAGTATCTTGCCTGGTGGCTATTTTAAAGCAGAAATAATTAGCCTTTATAACTTCCTTGTTCCAAGGTCTCCCAAAAGTAGCCCAATTTTTGTAGCCCATTCACTTGTTTTTAAGACAGAGCGGAAATGTGAGGTTTATTTGTAGAGCACTTGATTCACTTTTTTTGTGCTTCAGAACTGTATCATGAAGTATCACACTTCAGTCTTGTTTCTTCAAAAGGAAATGTTTCTGTAAAACATCACAAGGACAAGGAAACAGAGACAAGTCCAACTTAGAGCTGACTTTCCTTTGTCACTTTTGTATTTCCTGACTGGTGACTCTTCTCTCTCCTTCACACTGTTGAAATGTATTTAAAATGGTTTGTATGTAATGTTTCTTGTCTGCTTTTTGTCTCTAGAGGAAGGTGTGCTCTATTCACACTTATATAAGCTGGAATCATATTTTACAGTTGCTGTTGATTATTCCCCCCCCCCCAGATGCAGTATAAGAGGAAAATGAACATGGCAAAGACTGATTTCTAGGGTTTGGTCTTCTGTAAAAGCTGAAATAAGGAGATGTAAAACTGCCATTTTCCTTGTGAAAGACTGTAAAGAGAGCATTACTTTCTGAGCGAGCTTTTCTGGAGAAGAGGGGGAGAAACCCTAGAATGCAGAGTCTCATCAGAACCCTTTTGTTAACGGGTATTTTTGGTTTTCTCTCAAATGGCTGAGAAAATACCATGTATGAATTTATAAATAATTGCTTTCAGTTACTTCTTTTGTATAAGCTGCCCAATACCCTTGCTATGCTGTATAAGTTGTGTTTCATGGAACAGTGTGAGTATGAAATAAAAAAAAGCTAATTTTGGGGTTTTAAATCGTCTGTGGATGCCACTATGAAAGCTGACATTGTTAAAGCCACTACAGAGTTTTCTATGAATACTTGTAAGAATTGCTTTGTTATATATAAACCTAAATAAAGAGATTGTATTGATACAGAGACATTGGATAAGAACATTTAAAAGGCTATTCTTTAGGTCTAAAAGAAAAGGCTTGCTGTAAAATGGTGCATTATTCCATTTATTAAAGATCATATTAATGACAAAAAGCACGTTCTTTTGTGGGTTTTTCGTGGTATTATCTGTTACAGAAATGCTGTCAGGAAGGGGAGGAAAGCCCCTGGTTGCAGCTGTGTTTTGTTGGTTAAGGATAAGGAACTGCTTCATTACCAAGGGCTGAATAGGACTTTGGGACACCTTTGGCATGTGACAGATCACACACTGCTTTGTGGTCGGAAACTAGTGTGAAATAATTAGGGCTTGTTGCTACATTAATGCAGTGCCTCTGACTGCTTTTTTACCCATTTTCTCCAGTCAGCCAGTTAAGTTGCTTGTTACTGGCACCTAAATGCAGTGTGGTAGGTGTTTCAAAGCAGCAGGCCATCCATGGCCTCTTGTCTGTCATACATTGTCTGCTAAGTGTTTAAATGCAGAAAAACAAAAGGAAGAAGAAAACTAAGAAAGAAAACAGGAGGAAAAGGCATTAAAGTAAATACTTTTTCACTTTTGGTTGGGTTGCACTTGGATTTACGGCAACCCAGCATGTGGAAGGACACAGCAGGCAACAACCTTTGCAGGTGGAATGAGGATTAAAATAGCAACCCGTGTCCTTCCCACACAAACTATTGCAGTCTTTTCCTTCCCCATGAGGAGACAACGTCACAGCGTTCTTCCAAGTAGGAGCTTCCTCAGCCCAGAGTTGGTGTCCCATCCAACACAACTAGAAGAGATGTAGGTCCACCTGCAAATTCCCCCCCCTGACCCAGGAGCTTGCCTGCTCTGCCCGCCGGAAGGTAAGGTGCTGGGAACAGACAGGCCTTTTCTCCACTGCAGCCTCTTTTGTTTTGCTTCCTGGTGTTTTCCAGTGAAGAGTTCTTCCTCTAGGTTCCCTTCTTCCAGTCATGCCTGTGGGGAGCTTCAAGGTGAGTCATTAACTGGAATCACCCCCATACAAACGGTAGATGTGCTGTACCTGTACACAGGTGATGCTGTTCATTTGATCCCATCTTTCTCATCTCCTGTGTGACCACTGGTAAGTGTGAGGGAGTTAGCGTTCCATGGTCTGATTGGCGCTAAGGCAGGCAGCAGGATGCTGAGGCTTTAGAGCATGGATGCTTATCTATGTGAAGAACAGAGGGAAATGAATACAAAATGGCCCTGGGAACTATCACCCCCACTCACTTAAGTTACCTTCCCTTTCCAAACAGCACCAAGCACTGTACTGTGGGACCCCACCGGTTCCAGCGCTTTCCATTATGCACAGATTGGCTGGACATATCCTGCATCTCAGTTGCTTCATGGTTTGTATCTCCTCCTTTCTTTATTCCTGTTAATTTATTTTCTATATGAATACTGATGATTTTTAAATAAGAAAGTGGTGCGATTGTTAGACCTCTGTGGCCAAAGAACTACCTCCAAAATTCAAAGAAAGAAGGGAGACAGAATGTGGATCTTCATTTCTTGCTGGCATTAATAAGGAGGAAGCAACAAACTGAGGCAGTGTCTGGTTGAGCATCTGCCTGTATGGTGAATCACCTTAGCCCCAAGAATGAATCTGGCTACAGGGAAGGAACACGACAAGCCTCCCTTCCCCTGTAAGCAGGAGGCAGACTCCATGCTCCAGGGTGGATCTGCAGCTACTTTGGGGGTTTCTGGATTGGAGCTCAGGACAGTTACTGAGAAGGAGCCAGTCCCTCCCTGACAGAGAGCTCTGCGCTGACGTGCAGTGGTTTGCTGTTGGCTCAAGATGGCTGAGCAACACGAGCTCACAGGAAAAGAGACACTGGGTAGCCAGGTCTGATTCCCTACACGTGGGGCTTTAAGGATGGGCCTACAAAGCTCTTTGTATCCAGAGATCTCAGTGATCCCGGTGGGAGCCAGAGACCTTTGAAGTCCTCCCAGGAACAGCTCCAAGGAAGTCAGGTTTCCCACAAGGTTGTAGCCAGGGACACCAGGAGTGCTGGGAGCCACAGGAAGCTCTCGTTTCCCTGTGGCACAACAGGCCCATTCATTTCCTGCTGCCCTGCCCTGTGCAGCAGCTCTGCCTCTGGAGCAGGGGAGAAGGTGGCGGCAGTGCTGCAGCAGGTCAGGGAGGAATGCTGACCCCATCAACACAAGAGCAACAGGGAGCTGTGCCCATTCCACCTTCACCAGCGCCCAGGGTGGAGGGGCTGCTGCTGCCAAGGAAGCTGAGAAGGAACTGGGGGGGCAGCCCTGACTAAAGAGGTAGATGTGTCCCCCACCCAGCAAGAGCAGCCAAGTTCTGCCCTGCCCAGCAGATGTGGCTGAGTTGTGTCCTCAGGGCATCTGGGAAGCCTTGACTCAGCTCTGCATTAACACAGTGTTACTGGTGAGCTTTACCGATGTACTTTGTACCGGGTGCGTGAGCTACTCAGGCGTAAGAAACGGTCTCCTCATAGAGTTCCCTGTGTGACCTCATATTCTCACCTCAGCCAGCTCTCTCCTGCAGAAATAACAGCCACTTGTATTCGGCTTTCGCTTTGCTAATGGGAAATGAAAGTAAAACAACAATAATTATATTCCCCTTTGTTCCAGAGCAGTGATGCAGCTGCAGAACGCACTTTGTAGAACACAGCCACGTCAGTCTTCCATTTGTTTCCATTCAGGGCTTTTTCCCCCATTTACTTCTTGCTAATTCTGATGTTATGGAAATTCTCCACGTGCAGGAGATTATAGACATCTGCTCCCTGCCATGACCCAAAGCACATTCTGTTGGGTAAGGAGGTTAATTTTCCGCAGACAGGAAAACCCGGCTATACCAAAACGTTTCAATCTGTATAAATTCATCTCTTCGTGTTAGTCTGAAAGGTTGTAATTGTCCACCCAACAGGGAGCAGAAATGTTTTGATTCCTAGAATTTAAATGGCACACTCGGGTCTTCTGCTTTTATGCCAGGGGATCCTCTTCTTTCAGCTCCCAGCACCACAGGAGAAGTCTGTGGGAAATCCACAAGTGGTGATCTGAGCTGAAGTCATGCTGTGGGGATCACTCATGCCCCTTTTACAAAGACAGCAAATAATGCTGCCTGAGGACAGCTGGGCTGTGCAAGATGATGTAAGGAAAGCACGTTGGTATTTCCTATGCAGCATCTGAGCAAATGGCATTTCTAGATGGGGCTTGCATGGGCACTGGGAAAAAGGTAAGGATGCAAATACTGAGAAAGGTTGGAAATGCACGATCCAGGCACATTTTGATTCCTGATGGGAAGGACGGGAGTTTCCCAAGGCCTTCTGTCACATTGCAAGCACCTTTTGAGAATGAGGATGTACACCCACTACAGAGCAGGCATGGTTTGGGCATGATGGGCAGCGTCTCAAATGCATGAGGTGGATTTGAGGGAAGAGGAAAGATCATGGATGAAGGGTAGGGATATTTGTTTCAGGCATCAGCAACACAGTAGGACCCAGTACTTGTCTTTGGCCTGATTTCTTTGTTGCTCCTGTAGGGCATTGTGATAAAGAGGGTACAGAGGTGGTACAGCTCATTTTACTGGTGCCGCTGCTTGCATCAGACCTGCAAGCAGCTCCTGAGAATGGTACGGGCTTTTTTGCTTTCCCCTTTCATTTAGTGCAGCCTTTGTTTGTGAGAAGTTTGTGCCATAGATGATCGCATTTCCCAGTCAGAATGACCAGAAATATGGTTTCCATAAGGTACTTTTATGCACATGGAACTGTGTGCATAAGAAGTGAGGTTAGTTTGTGCTCTGTTCCTGGTTTTGTTCCTGATGGTTGTTAGCCTGTATTTTTTTTTTGCAGTGACTGGCATTTTACCAGCCTGCTGTAATGCATTTATATATTTTAATTATATATAATTATACCTGTTTTCCCAATTTTTTTCTCCCCTTCCCCATCTACCTCTCCCTTCCCCTTTCTTCTTATTGGAAAGGCACCAATCGAGCCCTGCAGATATGTTGTAACGAGTAGCTTCTTGCACCTCCGTGTCTCTGGATCGGTGAAAAAGTCAGATCTGACACAAATCACTGTGGCAGGTTGGAGGTCTGACTCTAGCATGTGAGGTCAGTGTTGCTGCTGCACACATTCCTTTCCCTGGTGCAGCCAAGGTGTGTACAGGTGGCCAGAGAACCTCCTGAAGGAGGGAGGCCTTACTGGATCTCCACTGAGGTGGAAAGAATTCACTGGGAACCTGCATTTCTGTTGCTATTCCAGGAGGTTTCTTGCAGGACCATTAAAAACTCTGAATCAGGCCTCAGAAACAGCCGGCTTAAAAACACTCTTAAGCAGGATAATTTTATTTGTTGTTTGCTTCTGGAAAACCAGAATGCAACTAAATCATGTGTTTGAGCTTCCCCCTGTGATCATGAGTGGTAGAAATGTGTTTTTAAGACATGGGCAAGCGGAAGATCCGATGTGCTTACATGAGCTATGAACTGAGACTGAAAGTGAAACGCGAAGCCTTTGAGCCAAACAGAAGCAAGCAGCAGTAACAGAAGGGCTTGACGTGAGCACTGTGTTAACCCTAGCAGAGCACCCAGCCACAGGAGGTACCCACAGGTTCTCCTGTTGCAGACCAGCAGTGGCCAACAAGCTGCAGGCTTGGGAAGCCTTTCCCTATTGCACTTTGGGGTCCAAGGATAAGAGACAACCTGCAGGCTCACCACTGTACCAGCCATGACTGCTGGAGGTGTTTGCATGCCTCTGCTGAGCAGTGTGAGCCTGACACCCTGCCTGAGCATTGTGTGAGGCCTGGGCTGCTAACAGAAGTAAGGCTTGGGGCTTTGCCCAGCTTTGCTTTCCTCATCTCAGAGATGATATCCACTCTTGCAGTGATGGCTCTCCAGCTATCCTGGAGGCAGAGTAAGCTGAATACCAGATGCAATGCATGAGGACAGGATGAGACAAACTGATGTCTGGTTGAGATGTAACCAAACTAGTTAAGAGCTCCCTTGGCACCCATGGCTGAATGCAACAAGGATTCAGAACACTGCTTGATCAGTTCTAAGTGGATGATTTCCCAAATCAGAGAATCCCGTGCTCCCACTTCATCACACGCCCTGCTAAAGTTAATTAGTTTAACTCCAGGGCTAGTACATGTACGTGGAGAGAAAAGCAAAATCATTTTGTCACTGCTTCTCAGTAGCCATTGTGCTCACGGCCATTGGAATGGCCATGAATAAGCCATGCCAATATACTTCTCACAATCTCTTTAGCTTTTCTAAATGTTATAAAAATAAACGAAAGCAGAACAAGATTTTAGGCCTGAATCAGAATGAGCAAACCCTCTTCTTTCCTTTCTTAGGTGAAAAGTATCTACAGTTCTGTGCCTATTCATCACACATACAGGATGTTTATCATCCTGCAATATGGCCATAAAATCCACGTCATTATTGAAATTGATAATGTCAATAACTGAAATAAATCTTTTACAGCATATAATTCCATGTGACTCTATGATTATACTTACAGGACAGAAATTGTTCTGGTGGCTTGTAGGAGCATTCAGTGTTCAATGCTTGTAAATCAAGAGCTTCCTTCCATAGTTCGAACACGTTCTTCTGCTCTGAGACTAGGAATACAGAAATACGTTACATCTCTATACACAGCAAAAATAAAGACAAACCTCTGTATTACATTTGCAAGCTCTGGAAATATGACCTAAAAATATAAGGTTTTGGAAGATAATCTCAAAGAAAAATTGCTTGCTTCATAAAAGGAAGGGAAGTTTTATTGTTGGAGGGAGGAATTGCATGCAAATTATCATCCAGCATCTTTCTTGCAGGATACCTTAGGGAGACTAAACTGTGTCTTGTTTCAATGAACTCAGCCACCTCTCTCAATGTTACCAAACCCACGGATTTAGAAACATGACGGACAACATGGCTTTTCTGCTGCTCTTCCCTCAGCAGGACCCAGTAACAGCTGCAGTCACTCTCATTTGATGAACCACGCATGACTCCAGTTGCCCCTCTCCTTCAGTAGCTGGACACTCACAAGGTTATTGCTTAGTGTTGCTGCTGTCATTTAACCTGTGTTCAGAAAACTGGTCTGTGTATGTGGGAAAACAGAATCACAGAATAGTTAGGTTGGAAAGGACCTTAAGATCATCAAGTTCCAACCCCCCTGCCATGGGCAGGGATGCCTCATGTCACACGTAGGTGATTTTAGCATTGTCTTTTAAAGAAATTAACCTTGTACTTCCCCTAGGTAATTCTGTTCACCATGAACACATGCTGGAAACATCTCTCAAGCCTGCAGGTAAGTGTTGCATTGAGGAACTGTGCTGGTTTGTCAGAAATGTGTTATCTTAACGCCACTGAGGCACGGAAGCCTCAGGATGTTATTTATATGACAACTTCTCTCAAAGATTGTGCTTCATAAAATGCAGCAGGAGCGCATTTTGCTTCAAGTTGTCTTTTGCTTATCACATGTAGTTTGATTTATGGCCAAGGTCCCATCTGTTGTTTTTTATTGTTTTAATCTTAATACCTTATTTCAATCTGCTTGCCTGCTCAAATCCCACCAGATATTCTGGAATATTAACTGGGATCTTACAGGTTTTGTGTGAAGCAAATTCCTTTATATTTGTCCTATTTCTCACATGTCTCCCGTTGATGTTGAACACCCCCATAAACAAGCAAAACAAACTCTCTCTGCAGGGGAGAGATAAGAAATGCGATGAAATATCCTGGGGCATAATCTAATGTTTAGATTAGACTCCCAGAATCTCTATAGTCTTTCAACCTTCAGTGTTGCGTGCAACAACTGCAGGTAAAAAAAAAAACAAAACAATTTGGGGCAGTAAACTGCTTCTTTACATGTGCTGCTTTGCATTGGTTTAATTTTGGAATAAGACATGAATACATTTGAAGCTACGTGGATCACAGTCATTTTCCATCAGATTTGCTATTATCACCATCACTTTTAACAGCACGTTTTCATATGTATTACTGTGAGCAGTGAGCGGTTCTACTCATTAACTTCCAATGCTTTAGTACAACAAAACTCCATGAGTATTTGTTGGTTTGATATCCATACAGTGGGATGTGGGCCTGTGAACTTGGCTAAACCTCTTCAAGCTTGTTTTTCTGCTTTTCATTCAGGGTCACTATTTTGACCACTTCCCTGACTTGTTTACATCCCTGTTTTCAGCAGGTTGCACATTTATTCATGCAGCTCTGTGTGGTTTGCTCCGTGTGGTTTATCAGTCAGCCTTTGAGTGCACTCTTGATGTGCTTCTAGTATTTGGATTTATTTGTTTGTATCCTCAGCTTTTACTACACACCGTATTTTAGGAAAGAACCAATCCCTTGCATGTAAGGGGACATCTGCAGTTCCTAATCTCCCAACAAGGACTATGTTACAAAGCAGTACATTTCGGCAGGCCCTGGTTTAGGTGCTGAGTGCCTCCAGGTCAGTGGGAGGTGGGAATGCTCATCACCTCCTGTGGTGGCACTTCAGCGTAGTAGGTGAGCACACCAGTGACTGTGCAGCTCCCGTGGGCCAATGGAGCTGAAGATGCAGAGACAGATCCTGACTGTAGGAAATGTGTTGTTCAGAGTTGGCCTGGACAGTGTTTGGCAAAGTCTGAAGGTAATAAGGAACGTGACAGCTCAAACAAAACCCAGAGCTTGGGAGGTGTGAATTACAAGGAGAGTCTGGGGGGGATCTGGATCCAAGTTATTTGGGACTGGGGTTTTGGTTTAGGTTTATTTGGGGTTTGGGGGTTTGGCTTTTTTTTAAGTAAAAAGTTTCAAAACCATTTTCAAGTAACTCATAATCCTCCTTTGGTTGTCTCCATTATTTCTGTAAGGTGTAGGAGTAAGATCTTGTTGTAACACATTTGTAACAGTTTAAACAAATTAACGTATGAAGTACATTAGGTCTGAGTACATGACTTTACACGTTGAACTTTCACGTCTAGAGCAGTATATGTAAATGCTTTGCTTTTTATTGTCATAACAACTGTGTGGAGCAGTGCCATTTTTGCAGTGTGACAATAATGTGGGAAGTACTATAATTGTCACAGATATCTTCTGCATTCAAAGTCGTGACTTTGCTCCATAACATGCATCATGCAAATAAACCTGAATCAAGACCTTTCATTTTTGGCCTCTTCAAAACAGTAACAGGAATCAGAATGCGTTCGGAATATTTAATGCCATAAACATATATTTATGGCACACTGCTTCCAAACAGCCACAGTTTTTCTGGGGAGGATAAACTGTCCAAGGGATGAAAGCCTGCTGAGCAATTGCACTGGCCCTGGCAGCGGGTGCTGTCAGAGCAGGAGGAACTGCAGAGAGGATTGCATCTTCTGCTCTCCACTGGGAATTGCAGCAATGCTACAGAGGTTAGCCTGCTGTAGGATAACTGTGTGCAGTCCTGGGCTGCTGTCATGGTGTAACCCAGCAGGCAGCTGAGCAGCACACAGCCACTCGTTCAGTCACACCCCACACCCCCCCCCCCCAGTGGGGTGGGGAGACAAACAGAAGGGGGAAAAAGTAAAATCTGTGGGGTGAGATCAAGGCAGCCTAATAGGATGTAAAAGGAAGGGGAAATACTAGTAATAATACTAACAACTACTAAAATTATGCACAAGCTTGCTCACCACCTGCTGACTGGTGCCCACCCAGTTCCCAAGAAGCAGACTGTCCCAGGTCACCTGATAGAGTGCTTACCTCTATCCTATACCAGCCTATAATTTGGAATATGCATTCTCAAAAACTCCACCTAAGAAAGCTTGTGTTTCCGTTTTGCTAATTGGTAGAGAGGGAGTGACCAAATCCCTTCGCCTCCATTGCTGACAGTAGGTAGCCCATGCTGTTTTCTGCCTCTCAGTCATTCCTGGTGAGCAGAGCACTCTCCCAGGTATTTCATTAGTCAAGTGGGCTATCTGGGATTTTGATGCTTTGCCACATTGTACCCCCAGTGCTTGTGATGGCTCCAAGGATGTGGCGCTACGTGTGTAATTTATAAGGGAATTTAAGTAAATTGCACACTTAAGAAAGGGCTACAGTAATGATATGCCGGACTTCTGGTGCCTTCCCTTGACATCACCACCTTCAGGGGCAGCCCAAGGTCACTCTCAAGTCTGGGCACAGCCTCTTGTAGCCAGTTGTGGTTGACCCGTCCTGCTATGCTACAGGCCCTATTACTACTATTTAGAGTACCTGTGGGCAAGCATAAAATGCACCCATTCTGTTCTTTTTTTTTGCCAGTTTGGTTTCTCACAAAAGGCTCTTGACTCTGACAAGAGCTTTAACCTTCAAGGCCTGAGGCAGGCCCATGTGCAGGCATCCTTCAGAAGTGCACATACATAGTCTTGCTTTTCAGGCTTGTTAAACGTGTGAGCCACCAGGCCGGAGCTCTTCAAAGGGGAAGCTGGGGCTTTTTAAGCGAAGCAGACTTCAATCAGAAACAGCGAAGGAGAAAAGAGGAGAGAAAAAAACCAACCCCAGGCGTAACCAAGCTGAAGAAAGAACACTATGTAATTCGTTTGTATCATAGCAATGGTATTCAATTGCAACATGCAACTCACAGAGCGATATTGAAAAAGAATGTAAGTTCGGTACCTCAGAACAGGCATTTGCAACACAGAGACAGGATTTATGGACTTCTTCGTGTCTTGGAGGTGCCAAAGTGTATCTACCTTGTATCTAAATAACCCAAACACGTAACTCAAGCCTGCTTCACGCGTGTGTTCCCTTCCCTAGGGTATAAATCAGGTTAAGAGGATGTCATAGTTAGCAAGTGTTCTGAAGAGATTGCAGTGAAGACGCGCCTAATCTAACGGAGAAAGAGTAAACGCAGCAGCTGAGGGGAGAAGTCTGCCTGGATATTACCCGTGCATCCGCTGCCATCATCAGTCACGCTAAGCCGGTGGCAAGGCGATTGGACGAGCCGCTGCTGAGCCCTCGTCCTCTCCTGCCGGGCGTTCAGAGATAACAGCGATCCGGCACCCCTGTTATAACGCAGCCCCGGGACGGGCCCGCCGCCACCCCCCACGTCCCCTCAGCCGAGAGCTCCCTGGTCCCCGCGCGCGCGCGACCCCTCGCTCCTCGCGGCGGCACGTGCCCAGGGCAGCGCGCGGCCCCGCCGGCAGCCACGCGCGCGCGGGTGTGTGTGTGCGTGTGTGTCTTTAAGCGCTGCCCCTCCCCTTCCCTCCCGGCGCAGGCTCCGCCACTCAGGAGCGCCCTCCGCAGCCAATGGGCGCGCCGTATCTGCGCGAGCCGAGAGGCGGCGCGCCCAATGGGAGGGCGCAGGGGGCGGCCGGGGCACTATTGTTGATGAGGCGAGCGGAGGCTCCGGAGGCAGCGCGGGTGTCCCCGGGCTGGGGGACGGCAGCGAGGACGGGTCGGGGTCGCGATCGCCGCTACCTGAGGCGTTGGACCCTCGCGAGGAGCTGCCCGCGCCCGGCGCCCTTCCGTGCCAGCGACGCTCTTCCGCGAGCCCCGGCTCCCAGCGGACGATGTCCCACCAGCGCGTGAGGCGCAGCGGCTCCCCTACCCCGGCCGCCTCCCTGGCGGGAGGAGGCGCGGCGGCGGCGGGCGGCGGAGCCGGAGCGAGCAGCCGCCTCCAGCCCATGCGGGCCACGGTGCCCTTCCAGCTCAAGCAGCAGCAGCAGCAGCAACAGCAGCAACATGGCAGCCCCACGAGGAGCGGCGGCGCGAGCGCCCCGGGCGGGGGTCTCCCACGCGCGGCGCCGGCCTCGCGCAGCATCAGCCCCACGCGCGCGGCGCCCACCGGCGGCGGCGGGCGCGGCGGCCCCGCCATGGCCACGCAGACACCGGGGGGAGGGGGCGGCGGCGCCGCCTCAGCCACCGCCGCCGCCGCCGCCTCCTCCTCGCGGGGCAGCCCCACGCGGGCCGGCGGAGCGCGGGGGAGCCCCCCGCGGCCGCATCACCTCCCGCCGCCACCTCCCCCGCCGCCGCCGCTGGGCTGCGGGCTCTCACCGTGCTCCTCTCCCGTGCCTCCGCTGCCCGAGGGCAGCGCTGCAGCGGCGGGCAGGGTCCGGCACCGGCGGCACTCGCCGGAGCAAGGCAGGAGCTCCCCGGAGAGGAAGAGCCCCAGCTCCCCCGTCTGCA